ACATTGGCAGGTCTCAGCTTGGCAAAGGGGGCAGTGCATGCTATAAATTCTGCAGGGTGCCCAAACTTTTGCAGACGCCATTTTTTTGTTTTCTGTTATTTTGAAAGTGTAAATGATGGAAATAAAATCTAACTTTTGTTGACATATTATAAGAATGTCTAATCTGTAATTTGATGCTTTTTGGAGATATTTCCATCTTTCCTTGGCTTCTTTATGCACATTAATACAACTTTTTAGCTGGGGTGCCCAAACTTTCGATCCCCACTGTATATATATATACATACACACACATACATATACACACACACATACATACATATACACATACATACATACATACATACACACACAGTATATATAAAATGAAATATATTTTTAAATATACTGAATACGGCCAAAATTGTAGCATTTCAAATATAGGTCAATATATTTGGGAAGAATATTTTAAAAATATATTTAAAATATATTTTTCTTCCATGTGGGAAAGCACGGACTTTTGTATCAATTGATTGTTTTTCCCACTATCCGGCGCTGCATTTTTTTTTTGTTATTTATCCAGCATATGCATTGTTAGAAGGTACTGAGCTATCTGAGGCAGGACACTGAGCATACCACACAGCACCTGCAGCTCACACATTCTGCACTTAAACACCCCTCCCCTTTGGATACTGCATCTGTACCGTATCTGTTGCATCTCTACCACCCTGTACTGTATGCTTGTTTATTAGGACTGCAAACAAGTGCACCAACGCTTCTTAAAGGGCCCCAACAATATCCGGCAGAAGAACAATTCAAAGGGCTACCCCTCCTAATGAATCACCTTATACACCCCTTTTCTTTCCTTTTTCATTACTACCATTTTCTTTCCCATGGACAGTGCACACCAGTCAGTCTAGGCCTAGCACACCCTCCATTAATGCACTCCGGCAGTAGAATTCCTGTGTTTGGTAGCTTAAGGGCTCAAATTAAACCCAATGTTGCTTTATTGTTGCTTCAAAGCATCTCTAAAGCCTCCAGAAAACTCTATGACACCTGACTGACTATGACGGCACCTGCAGCTTTTGAGAGGCTTTTATTCAGCTTTAGCTTCACTTCGTTTTGGAGGTATTGCAGTTATGAGATATCCCAGGATGCACTGGGAAACCAACAAGCTAACTGGAAAGTCGTCATCAGCAGTTGTCTTCTGGTTCATGTGTATATATTCTGGGAATGTCTGGTGCAGACGTCACATGTGGTGTGCAGCGTGGGAGCAGCAGGAAGGTGAGCGGGGTCCTTACTGGAGCGGAGCAACTAGCAGACAGCACACGTGGTGTGCAACATGGCAACTCTATAGCGGAAGGTGAGCGGGGACCGGAGAGAGAGGACTGAGAAGCTGAGGATCAGTAAAGCTGGGGGACCGGAGCAGGAGAAACTAGCAATGTCACACATGGTGTGCAGCGTGGGAGTAGCAGAAAGGCGAGCGGGGTCCCTACTGGAGCGGAGCAACTAGCAGACAACACACGTGGTGTGCAACATGGCAACGCTATAGAGGAAGGTGAGTGAGGACCAAAGAGAGAGAGCTGAACAGCAGAGGATCAGCAGAGCTGGGGGACCGGAGCATGAGAAACTAGCAAAGTCGCATGTGGCATGCAGCGTGGGAGCAGCAAGAAGGTGAGCGTTGTCCTTACTGGAGCAACTAGCAGACTACACATGTGGTGAGCAACATGACAACGCTATAGGGGAAGGTGAGTGGGGACCGGAGAGATAGGACTGAGTAGCAGAGGATCAGCAGAGCTGGGGAACCGGAGCAGGAGAAACTAGCAAAGTCACATATGGTGTGCAGTGTGGGAGCAGCAAGAAGGTGAGTGGGGTCCAGACTGGAGCGGAGCAGACAGCAGACATTGTGTGCAACATGGCAATGCTATAGTGGAAGGTGAGTGGGGACCTGAGAGAGAGGACTGAACAGCAGAGGATCAGCAGAGCTGGGGGACCGGAGCAGGAGGAAGTAGCAATGTCACACGTGGTGTACAGTGTGGGAGCAATTCAGTGGGAGGTGAGCGGGGACCAGAGAGAGAGGAGGATCAGCAAACCAGAGGATCCACAGAGCTGGGGGTTACTATTGAGTGGGGGATCCACAGAGCTGGGGGTTACTACTAAGCTTGTCAGAGGAGATTGACAAAAAGAACAGGGGACCCGTTCTATTCAGCGGCTCCTACGGGGGCAGTGCTACATGTATATCTGTCTAGAGTATAACACAAATGTATGTGTCCTCAAAATACGAATCTGCGTCTTTCCACATCCGTGTTTATTTCTGATGTACAGACACTGCGTGTGGCTACTAAGGATCAGATACGATTCGCAGCTATAAGAAAGGCGATCGATGGAACAAAACGTGACACCTCTGCGTCTCGGAGAATCTCGGCTACTTCATGTTATCATTTCTTCGGTAAAAAAAGAGAAATCTTATCGGAGGTTTTCCCTCCCACAGAACATTAATCTGCGTTCATGAGACCATCAGGGTGAGGTCTGGATTGAGTTAAACATCTCTCATGCTGAGATACACGTGTGTGCGCCACAACGCCCATGTAACGATTAATTAACCTCTCCGTGTAAATTCCCATCACAGACCCATCAAATAAAAACAACATATAAACAATTGAGAGATCTGTTGGGTGATACAGAAATTAAACCTCTACGGAAAAGGATGAGGAAAACCAGGGAGAGAATAGGTGCAGTAATCCCCCCCTCCTGAGTCACCCCTTGATTCCATCCCCTACTTGCCTCCAAGCACTGTTGTTTGGTTACACCCCCTGCCCACCTCTAAGCACCATCCTTTGGTTCCCCCATCTACCTACTTCCAAGCACCATCCTTTGGTTCCAACTCGTACACACCTCCAAGTACCGGCCTTTCATTTCACCCACTAACCACCTCAAAACATCGTCCTTTGGTTCCACCCCCTGCCCATCTCCACCCCTTTGGTTCCCCCCTGCCCATCTCCAAGCACCGTCCTTTGGTTCCCTCCTCTACCTACTTTCAAGCACCATCCTTCGGTTCCAATTCCTACCCACCTCCAAGCACCATCCATTGGTTCCACTCCCCAACCACCTCCAAACACAGTCCTTTGGTTCCACCCCCTGCCCATCTCCAAGCACCTTCCTTTGGTTCCCCCCTCTACCTACTTCCAAACACCATCCTTTGGTTCCAACTCCTACCCACCTCCAAGCACCATCCTTTGGTTCCACCCCCTACATACCTCCAAGCTCCATCATTTGGTTCCACCCCCTACTCAACTCCAAGCACTGTTCTTTGGTACCAACTCCTACCCACCTCCAAGCACTGTCCTTTTGATTCCAAAACCCTACTCACCTCCAAGCACCGTCATTTGGTTCAACCCCCTACCAGGAGCGGACTGACAACTCATGGGGCCCCCAGGCAATAGGGGATCATGGGGCCCGTGTCCTTGCCCACACTCAAAGAACACCCAAAAAAGCCTAAAAGAAAAAAAAAAAAAAAAAAAAAAAAAAAAAGTGTACCAGGGGCATTTCATGGGGCCCCCTACTGACCCCGGGCCCTCGGTCAGTGCCCGAGTGCTCGAATGGTCAGTCTGTCCCTGCCCCCTACCCACCTCCAAGCACCGTTCTTTGGTTCCACCCCCTACCCACCTCCCAGTATTGTTCATTATAGAGAATACAGAGCCAAGTATAATTTGGTATGAAATTTGTTAATGATAACAAGAAAAGCAGTTAAATAGATCCTCTGCAGCCAGCGACAAAACCCCCCCCCCAACAACAAACAATAGACTCAACCCAAGCAAACAATAGACCCCATGGACACAATAAAATACAACCCCAGCAACAAAGATCCCAGCAGCAACAATAAATCCCCCAGCAACAATGGACCCCACAATAAAATACAACCCAGCAACAATTGTCCCCAGCAGCAGCAACAATATATCTCCCATCAGCAAGCAACAATAGACCACTCCCTCAAAATTAGATGCCTTTTGGCAACAATAGATCCATCTCCAGCACTAACAGATCCCTGTCCAACAACAATTGACCAACATGCAAAAATAGATCCCTTCCACTGACAATAGATCCCCCAGCAATCAGCATCAATAGACCTTCCAGCACACTCCAGCACCCCTTGTCATTACATACATTCAGTTCTGGAGGTGCCCCCACATTCCCGCTGAAAAAAAGCCCCGAGAAAAACAAACACGGAATGTTCTTACCCACACTGGCGGCCATGTCTACGAAGGTGCCATCGCCTTTGTTCTGGAAGAGGAAGTTGGGTCCATTCTCATTGTCGCAGAAAATGTCAGAGGCAGCCGAGCTCAGGATTGGCCCAACTGTGACTCCGCGTCCACCTAGAGAAAATAAACGGAGAGACTGATGAGCGGGAAATGAGGGTTATTATCAGCCAAAATGTGAAGACCAGAGCAGATGAATGAGGGTCATGTCTATAAAGGAGGAAATACAAGAGAACCTGTCCCCACAGAACACATACGTGGCTGAATCCACAGAGGGACAAAAATATGCATTCAACACTTCTTGTAGCGCCCCGTTCTGTATCAGCCTGGGGTTTTTTTTTTTCAAATTTTGAGCCATCCTCTTTGGTTGGTGGTCACACATGTAGCACTACCTCTGAAGGGGCCGCTGGTAATAGTTGGTTCTTTCCTTCTACAGAGATGACCCACCACCACATGCACACCACCAGATTCAATAGCTCAATCTAGATGTACCGTCCTCTAGGTAAGCTACATAGGCTTTATTGTTTTCTTTAGACAGGGGCTGAGTAGCAGCCTGGGATGAGTCGGCCTGGGAGTGAGGTACAGTGAGTTCACCTCAGGACAGGCTGGACGACTCTACAGGTCAGGGTTTTCTGGAGCCCTCCCACCTTTCCGGAAACTTTGAGTACTTTCTGGAAGATGGGTGAGGAGGGAGATCTGCATGTTTGAGGAACCTTGACCAATCCCCTGGCAGGAGGACGAGCATGGGGACCAAGGACAACCCTTAAATATGACAGAGCTTGGGGAGTGGTGTGCAGATTTGGGTGGAAGATGGATTGATAGGAAGGCTGGAGTGAGGAACCTGGGAGGGGAACCTACCTACCAGAAGCAGACTGACAACTCATGGGGTCCCCGGGCAATAGGAAATCATGGGGCCCGTGTCCTCACCAACGCTCAAACCACACCCAAAAAAGCCTATGAAAGGTATTAGGGGCATCTCATGGGGCCCCCTACTGACCCCGGGCCCTTGGGCAGTGCCCGAATGGTCAGTCTGCCCCTGCTACCTATAGGCTGGTTGCTGGACAGGAGGATCTTCACTGTTCCACCGTCTCTTAGGGAGGACATCCTGAACAGCAAGGAAGGAGCCAGCCCAGCGTAAGGCCTGAAAGCAGCTACCAACCCACCACACTGATAGGACAGGACAGTGCGTGTAGTCCTACACCCCCTGGGCCAGATAAAGGGAGAGGGAGGTCAGGTGCAAGACCCAATTAGTTCACATCCAGGACTACTTCATTGTAAGCTCTTGGGCCCCCTTGCCCAGGGATACCCTCAATGCAGCTGGATGAAGAAGAGTATTCATCTGGGATCGGAGGAGGAACATCAAGGGGACGTAACAGAGACTGTTGCTATTCCACATTTTTTAATTCTCCAGTTTTCAGTTCCTTGGGCATCCCATATACCCCTAGACCCCATCCAAGTTTTTAACCCCTTAATAAAAACAACTTTAAAAAAACAGCTTAAGGACTGTTTACTGAGTATAAAAGTGTGGAAAATGTCTGCTGCCTGGCCTGGCCTGCAGAGCTTAGGGGGGACCTAAAACAAATCCAGTGGCCCTTAAAGGGATAGTGCTACATAGGGGATGTCTTTTTGATATTTATTGCTTAAAGAACTTTAAACAGGAGAGGGGTTAGGGGGGTATCGGATGCTCCAAAATGCTGCACAGGAACAGGAGGACACTCTTCTCTAGGTTCCCACCGCAAGGAGGCCAGGGGAGAGGACAGGGGCCAGGGCAAGGGAGAGGCCAGTACTCTAAGGCTCTGTGAAGGCCATCTCAGCCCATAGCTATCTTTCTCTTGAAGCGTCCTATGGAGCCACCCTTGTATACAGAGAAGAGAGTTCTGTCTCCCTACACTGTGTGCATCAATAGAAACACACAGCCCCATAGCCTAGGGTGGCAAGGCACTCCCCTGCTCCTCCCACTCCTTTTTCTTGAAGCGTCCTATGGAGTCACCCTTGTATACAGGGAGGAGAGTTGTGTCTTCCCACACTGTGTGCATCAATGGAAGCACACAGCCCCATAGCCTAGGATGACAAGGCACTCCCCTGCTCCTCCCACTCCTTTTTCTTGAAGCGTCCTATGGAGCCACCCTTGTATACAGGGAAGATAGTTATGTCTCCCCTACAATGTGTGCATCAATAGAAACACACAGCCCCATAGCCTAGGGTAGCAGGGCACTCCCCTGCTCCTCCCACTCCTTTTTCTTGAAGCGTCCTATGGAGCCACCCTTGTATACAGGGAAGATAGTTATGTCTCCCTACAATGTGTGCATCAATAGAAACGCACAGTCCCATAGCCTAGGGTGGCAGGGCACTCCCCTGCTCCTCCCACTCCTTTTTCTTGAAGCGTCCTATGGAGCCACCCTTGTATACAGGGAAGATAGTTATGTCTCCCTACAATGTGTGCATCAATAGAAACGCACAGTCCCATAGCCTAGGGTGGCAAGCCACTCCCCTGCTCCTCCCACTCCTTTCTCCAAGCCAACAGGCTGACTCCAGACTGCACCGTCCTCTCTCAACTCTTTCCTGTGAAGGCTGGATGTTCAGGGAAGCAGCCCTGAGACAGCAGCATGGAAAACTTGTAAAGTGCAAGTGCTGGGACAAGTAAATAGTTTACTGTGGAATGTTTATTTTATTGTACTCAATATTCTGAGCCTGAACATTACATACGGAATATTACTGAATCCCTATTCATGATCCTTCACAGCCCGGGAACCCTTCCTTCCTGGTCCCCCACCTCCCCGAGACCCTCCTTACTCCTCCCATCCCCCCTATTTATTATTCTCTCTCTTTTTCTCCTCTTTACTCATTTCAGTGAAAAATGTCACATTTCGGGGAGAGACGTCTTTTCTTCCAGCGCATTACATTATGGAATCCTCCGTTGTGTAGATGTCTGCACAGATTAACCGTTCGATTCCTCGCTGACGTCTTCCGATCCTCGCCGTTTGTTCTTTTTCACAATAAAAAGTGATTTACAAGAAAAATGCCTGAAGCCTGAAGACACACGAGAGACACTTCAGAAGTGCCTGAAAATGCTCATGTGCAAATGGGGGGAGGGGGGGGGGGGGTACACAAGGCTCCTCATTCTTGCCATAGCCCTGGCATCTAGGGGCATTAGAGGGGATTCAAGCTGGGGGCTGTGGAGGGGTGGAAAGCCTCTGACACTCCCAGTGTGGGCTTAATAGAGGAAATGAGGGTCAGAGAGTGGGGGCCTAATAGAGGAAATGAGGGTCAGAGAGTGGGGGCCTAACAGAGGAAATGAGGGTCAGAGAGTGGGGGCCTAATAGAGGAAATGAGGGTCAGAGAGTGGGGGCCTAATAGAGGAAATGAGGGTCAGAGAGTGGGGTCCTAATAGAGGAAATGAGGGTCAGAGAGTGGGGGCCTAATAGAGGAAATGAGGGTCAGAGAGTGGGGTCCTAATAGAGGAAATGAGGGTCAGAGAGTGGGGGCCTAATAGAGGAAATGAGGGTCAGAGAGTGGGGACCTAATACAGAAAATGAGGGTCAGAGAGTGGGGTCCTAATAGAGGAAATGAGGGTCAGAGAGTGGGGACCTAACAGAGGAAATGATGGTCAGAGAGTGGGGACCTAATAGAGGAAATGATGGTCAGAGAGTGGGGTCCTAATAGAGGAAATGAGGGTCAGAGAGTGGGGACCTAATAGAGGAAATGATGGTCAGAGAGTGGGGGCCTAATAGAGGAAATGATGGTCAGAGAGTGGGGGCCTAATAGAGGAAATGAGGGTCAGAGAGTGGGGGCCTAATAGAGGAAATGAGGGTCAGAGAGTGGGGACCTAATAGAGGAAATGATGGTCAGAGAGTGGGGGCCTAATAGAGGAAATGAGGGTCAGAGAGTGGTGACCTAATAGAGGAAATTAGGATCAGAGAGTGGGGACCTAATAGTGGAAATGAGGGTCAGAGAGTGGGGACCTAATAGTGGAAATGAGGGTCAGAGAGTGGGGACCTAATAGAGGAAATGAGGATTAGAGAGTGGGGACCTAATAGAGGAAATGAGGGTCAGAGAGTGGGGACCTAATAGAGGAAATGAGGATCAGAGAGTGGGGACCTAATAGAGGAAATGAGGATCAGAGAGTGGGGACCTAATAGAGGAAATGAGGATCAGAGAGTGGGGATCTAATAGAGGAAATGAGGGTCAGAGAGTGGCGACCTAATAGAGGAAATTAGGATCAGAGAGTGGGGACCTAATAGTGGAAATGAGGGTCAGAGAGTGGGGACCTAATAGAGGAAATGATGATCAGAGAGTGGGGACCTAATAGAGGAAATGATGGTCAGAGAGTGAGGACCTAATAGAGAAAATGAGGGTCAGAGAGTGGGGACCTAATAGAGGACATGAGGGTCAGAGAGTGGGAACCTAATAGAAGAAATAAGGGTCAGAGACTGGGGACCTAATAGAGGAAATGAGGATTAGAGAGTGGGGACCTAATAGAGGAAATGAGGGTCAGAGAGTGGGGACCTAATAGAGGAAATGAGGATCAGAGAGTGGGGACCTAATAGAGGAAATGAGGATCAGAGAGTGGGGACCTAATAGAGGAAATGAGGATCAGAGAGTGGGGATCTAATAGAGGAAATGAGGGTCAGAAAGTGCTGAATCACATGATTTGGAGGGCGAAGACAATATGTCTGAGAATATAGTGTATCTACCAGGGGCGGACTGACAACTCATGGGGCCCCCCGGGCAATAGGGGATCATGGGGCCCCATGTCCTTGCCCAAACTCAAAAAAGCCTATGAAAATGGTACCAGGGGCATCTCATGGGGCCCCCTACTGACCCCGGGCCCTTGGGCAGTGCCCGAGTTTCCAAATGGTCAGTCCGCCACTGGTATCTACTATAGAACTTTATGAGGGTTGATTAGTTCTCATTTCCTTGTTTGAATAATATAATAAAGCGATATTTTCTCTGGATGTTCCGTCTTGTGAAGTCATTTCTGTCCTCATGAGTCCCGTGTTTCTTGGTGGGTGTTTTTAAGGCAATAAAGCCCATGGCCAATCTGCTTGCTCTGTCCAAAAGCCAGCCACCATGTGTGAAAATCTGAGCAAGTGCCACAAAAGCTGAAATAATGTGACATTATCAGATAATTAGCCATTCCGTATTTGCTGACAACACAATAAATATCCTGTAAAGACCTCATTGGCTGCTTCTCTGCCAACTGCACCGGTTTTACATTTATGGAGCCCACAAAGGTTCTCCAACGACGCCGCATACATCTGCCTCCACCGTTCCCGGCAGAACCGGGGAGCTCAGTAGCAGCACCGATCGGAGACGGATTGCACTTCCGCAGCCCCCAGGCACTGCGAATAGCGCGTCACTCCACAGCCCCGGGTGCTTGCTCCATGCCGCAGTCTTTTAGCCTTTTAATTAATTAGATGTTCAGAAACAAAAGAAGAAGAATGTAAATCGTCTTCACAGACTAAAGTGCTGCAATTTACACGGCGACCTGTCCGAGGTTCCTGCCGAAGATGTTCGATTGGCTGAAGTTAATGGTGTCCAAGTGATGACCGCTTTATTACAGATGATTATTGTCAAGTGACCTTTGTTGTGGCTTTTTTATATTTTTTTTTTATATTGCTACAAACTGGAAAGTCTGGATTTTATATTCTTTATGTTGCAGCCTTCAAAAGGAAATCGTTTTACAAAAAAAGTTACATAAATAAAAAAAGACGCCAAGTGAAACATACGTAGAAGCGTGATCCCGTCACTTCAGGGTCCCACGTGACGTCACGTCCGGCCCGCTAACGTGAGGCTTGGAGCGCATGCAGGCTTTGCACAGCGAGATTGATGCATATACTGTATATTGGCTGCACAGACTGGTGCCGGGATACAGACACTTTAACCTCTTGGCGCCGGCCAAACGCAAATGTGCCGCCTCCCGGCATACGGGCCTAGACGCCGCGCAGCCGCACATTTGCATTCTATTAAAAAAAAAACAAATGTGCTGAGAGCGCGCGCCCTGCACACTCCCAGGACACATTTCCGGTACTCACGGAAAGGTCCCGATCTCCTTTTTCGATTGGGACCTTTCCCGATCATGTGACTGCCGTGATGGCGTGTCACAGCAGACACATGACCCTAAACCCCGCCCCGCCTCCCGGCTTCTGAGGACACTGTCCCCCCCTCCTGCCCAGGCCAATTTCAGCTTTCAGCGCTGTCACACTTTGAATGGCAATTGCACAGTCATGCAACACTGTACCCATATGAATTTTTTTGAGACAGATAAAACTTTATTTTGGTGGTATTTATTCACTGCTGGGATTTTGATTTTTTTCCTATATAAAAAAAAATAGTCCAAAAATGTTTTTAAAAAAGTGTTTTTCTTATAAAATGTTGCAAATAAATAATCTTTCTTCATAAATCTTGGCCAAAAATGTATTCAGTTATCTTTTTAGTAAAAAAAAAAAAATATATAACCCAAAATTAGTTTATAACCAACAATTATAATTAAAAACATTGTTTTTACATTTTTTTTTTTATATTATTATTATTTAACATACTGTCACCCTAGCAGTGTGGTGTCACCATGGTGACACTGTACTACTTGTGGGGGTGATGAAGATTTTTTTTCTCTTTCTACACTGATTGCTTTTACACCCATAAAGGCTGTAAGAGGAATCATTTCTCCTTCTCTCTGGCTGCATTCTTGCAGCCAATGAGAAATACTGTGAGAGCTGTGATTGGTCACAGCTTGTCACATGGTACAAGGCTGTTGTGAATGGCCCTGTACCATGTGATCTCTGTTATCATTCACAGATTTCACAAGTAGTAAGCAATGATGTCAGGAAGTGACATCTTGCTTACTACTCTGCATGTGATCACTGATTGGCCAATCATTGATCACATAATCGGGACATCACACACAGGTCCCGTACAGCGATCTGTGTTCAGACACATCAGGCACCGGATCCCAGGGAGCGCGCACAAGCAGTGAAGCGGGAGGACGTTTATAAATGGACACCAGCTCCTGCACTGCTCCCGTCTGGCCATTTATGTACATGGGCCGGACGGGAAGTGGTTAATATGTGAGTGCATTTTTATTCCCCATTTGATCCACGGTTCTTAATCAATATTATACTTCGAGCAATTCTATGACAATTTGTTTTATTTGAGTTTTCTGGAGAGCCAATACTAGAAGGGGAGCTTGGAGAGTCAGCGTATGAGAGCCTGCAGTTGGGAATCCACACAACATTTGATTACCCAAGCGGGGATCAGCACCTTCTGGTGAGAGAGACATTCATCTATTACTTCTATCAATTCACTGGATTTATGCGACACCCTCCTATGGGATTCTCATTCATTCTTGTATTAGATAATTATTCACATGGTGTCGGGAGAGCACTTCACATAAAAAGTTACATATGCATTGAATTAAAGAAAAACTCAATAATAATAGGAAGTGTGGATGTCATATTTATATCCCTCAAGTCCTGACAGTATCAAATGCTCTCGTTCTCAACCAGATCCCACTGACACCACTGATCTTTTTAGCCATCTGTACGGTAATCATTCTTCCCACTGACCCCCCCCCCAATGTAAGGGACATTCTTCCCACTGACCCCCAATGTAAGGGACATTCTTCCCACTGATCACCAATGTAAGGGACATTCTTCCCACTGATCACCAATGTAAGGGACATTCTTCCCACTGACCGCCAATGTAAGGGACATTCTTCTCACTGATCACCAATGTAAGGGACATTCTTCCCACTGACCCCCAATGTAAGGGACATTCTTCCCACTGACCCCCACTGATGTAAGGGACATTCTTCCCACTGATCACCAATGTAAGGGACATTCTTCCCACTGATCACCAATGTAAGGGACATTCTTCCCACTGACCCCCAATGTAAGGGACATTCTTCCCACTGACCCCCAATGTAAGGGACATTCTTCCCACTGATTCACCAATGTAAGGGACATTCTTCCCACTGACCCCCAATGTAAGGGACATTCTTCCCACTGACATCCAATGTAAGGGACATTCTTCCCACTGACCCCCAATGTAAGGGACATTCTTCCCACTGACCCCCAATGTAAGGGACATTCTTCCCACTGACCCCCAATGTAAGGGACATTCTTCCCACTGACCTCCAATGTAAGGGACATTCTCCCCACTGACCCCCAATGTAAGGGACATTCTTCCCCACTGATCACCAATGTAAGGGACATTCCTTCCACTGACCACTTCCCGCTAAATGTAAGGGACATTCTTCCCGCTGACCTCCAATGTAAGGGACATTCTTCCCACTGACCACCAATGTAAGGGACATTCTTCCCACTGACCAAATGTCCCCCCCAATGTAAGGGACATTCTTCCCACTGATCACCAATGTAAGGGGCATTCTTCCCACTGACCCCCAATGTAAGGGACATTCTTCCCATTCTGACCCCCCCAATGTAAGGGACATTCTTCCCACTGACCCCCAATGTAAGGGACATTCTTCCCGCTGATCCCCAATGTAAGGGACATTCTTCCCACTGACCCCCAATGTAAGGGACATTCTTCCCGCTGACCTCCAATGTAAGGGACATTCTTCCCACTGACCCCCAATGTAAGGGGCATTCTTCCCACTGATCACCAATGTAAGGGGCATTCTTCCCACTTACCCCCAATGTAAGGGACATTCTTCCCACTGACCTCCAATGTAAGGGACATTCTTCCCACTGACCCCCAATGTAAGGGACATTCTTCCCGCTGACCTCCAATGTAAGGGACATTCTTCCCACTGACCCCCAATGTAAGGGGCATTCTTCCCGCTGATCTCCCAATGTAAGGGACATTCTTCCCGCTGACCTCCAATGTAAGGGACATTCTTCCCGCTGACCCCCCCCCCAATGTAAGGGACATTCTTCTTGCTGACCCCCAATGTAAGGGACATTCTTCCCGCTGACCCCCCCCCAATGTAAGGGACATTCTTCCCACTGACCCCCAATGTAAGGGACATTCTTCCCACTGACCCCCAATGTAAGGGACATTCTTCCCACTGACCCCCAATGTAAGGGACATTCTTCTCACTGACCCCCAATGTAAGGGACATTCTTCTCACTGACCCCCAATGTAAGGGACATTCTTCTCACTGACCCCCAATGAAATGTTTTTCACTGACCCCCCAATGTAGTAAGCGTTTTTAGTAAGCCCCCTAGAACTAAGAATCATTTCAGGGTTCCTTTTGGCGCAGGCTCGGTATTCTGTAGGGTTCGGCATATTGCGCCTCTCCCATTAATATGTATAATATGTCCCTCTGTATATTGAATGTCTACAAAGTCTCTGAACACTGGAGCCAGACAAGGATACGTTTCCAGAATGAATGGCGCTAATGAATATTTCTTAGTGTGGTGACTTGGCAATATGAAGTGTCAAACAATATTGATACATCCCATCATATCAGGTAAGTTATAGCCGGTGGAGTTGATTACTCCGATATCAATAACTCCGGGCTGGAACCCAATAAGTATGCAGGCTCACAAAGGCCCGGGCATCCATCTTCCGCCTCTGACATGTTTCCCATTCCAGGAGAGTTTCTAAATCTAATTTGCTGATTGCAATTGGTTAACGTCTCAAGCTGTTCATAACACACAATTAACCGTAACCATGGCAACTCCGTTTCTAATTAATGACGGCGGATAAATCAGCCGACAATGGAACCATAATAGAGAAATTACTTAAAATCTATTAAGGCCGATCGCGGGTGCCAAATTGTCACAGGATGGATTTGTGTTCCATTACCTTGCTATCAATTCTCGCCTGATAGGGCGCAAGTCACTTGATTGCGAAATGTAACTTTTTTCAGCCAATGGCGGGCGACTTGCGGATAATTAGAAGGTTCAGATTTTCTGGAGATAATCAGCCGAGAAATAGGAGATCAGGGACGCGGCATTGGCCGTCGGAGGAACATGGCGGCTATTTCCAGGAAAGTACTGTAAACTAATCACATAAACGGGGGGATGGCTGGAATTAATATCCGCGCTCGGCGAGGAGGTAAAAAACAAGCCTAATGTTTCTCTGATGTCGTATTAAAATAAAATACGGCTTTCCAGGTCTCATTAATCGGCGAACGCCGTTGTCTGAAACCCGAGACCAAAGGGAGCGGCGCAATACCTTGTGAATAAAGAAGCGCTTTCCATAATTAACTTTATCCTGGAAAATTGTTCCTCACCGCGCAAAGCAAAAAATATTTTAAGCGAGCAATTCATCAAGGGAGTCGACTATTTCACCAACCGGTGGCCTAATTAATGTCATCATCGAGTGCTGATCAAAGAAGCTGAACTGAGTTGTGCTGAAAGGTACAAGAATAATCCACCCAGAAAAAAAGAAAGGCGTGGCCCGGCAATTAAATGTAAACAATTTAAATAAATGATGTATCTTCCTTCAGACTTCTAGCTATTTACTTAGGAACAACTGTCCTTGTATTTAGATTATATTTAAACATCCAACCAACAAAGAATTAGAAGGATGTCATTTAAGTCATCCCTTGTCTCTGCCCCCTACCCACCTCTGAGCACCATCCCTTGTCTCTGCCCCCTACCCACCTCTGAGGACCATCCCTTGTCTCTGCTCCCTACCCCCTCTGACCTCTGAGCACCATCCCTTGTCTCTGCCCCCTACCCACCTCTCTGAGGACCATCCCTTGTCTCTGCCCCCTACCCACCTCTGAGCACCATCCCTTGTCTCTGCCCCCTACCCACCTCTGAGGACCATCCCTTGTCTCTGCCCCCCTACCCACCTCTGAGCACCATCCCTAGTCTCTGCCCCCTACCCACCTCTGAGGACCATCCCTTGTCTCTGCCCCCTACCCACCTCTGAGCACCGTCCCTTGTCTCTGTCCCCTACCCACCTCTGAGCACCGTCCCCTTGTCTCTTCCCCTACCCACCTCTGAGCACCGTCCCTTGTCTCTGCCCCCTACCCACCTCTGAGGACCATCCCTTGTCTCTGCCCCCTACCCACCTCTGAGCACCGTCCCTTGTCTCTTCCCCTACCCACCTCTGAGCACCGTCCCTTGTCTCTGCCCCCTACCCACCTCTGAGGACCATCCCTTGTCTCTGCCCCCTACCCACCTCTGAGCACCGTCCCTTGTCTCTTCCCCTACCCACCTCTGAGGACCGTCCCTTGTCTCTGCCCCCTACCCACCTCTGAGCACCGTCCCTTGTCTCTGCCCCCTACCCACCTCTGAGGACCGTCCCTTGTCTCTGCACCCTACCCACCTCTGAGCACCGTCCCTTGTCTCTGCCCCCTACCCACCTCTGAGCACCGTCCCTTGTCTCTGCCCCCTACCCACCTCTGAGCACCGTCCCTTGTCTCTGTCCCCTACCCACCTCTGAGCACCGTCCCTTGTCTCTGCCCCCTACCCACCTCTGAGCACCGTCCCTTGTCTCTGCCCCCTACCCACCTCTGAGGACCGTCCCTTGTCTCTGCCCCCTACCCACCTCTGAGCACCGTCCCTTGTCTCTTCCCCTACCCACCTCTGAGCACCGTCCCTTGTCTCTGCCCCCTACCCACCTCTGAGGACCGTCCCTTGTCTCTTCCCCTACCCACCTCTGAGGACCGTCCCTTGTCCCTGCTTCCTACCCACCTCTGAGCACCATCCCTTGTCTCTGCCCCTTACCCACCTCTGAGCACCGTCCCTTGTCTCTGCCCCCTACCCGCCTCTGAGCACCGTCCTTTGTCTCTGCCCCCTACCCATCCCTTGGTTCCACCCATTACCCACCTCTGAGCACCGTCTCTAGGTTCCACCCCCTACGCATCTCTCCCCCCCTTATGTATTATACATGGAGATCATATCCCCCCCCCTTATGTATTATACATGGAGATCATATCCCCCCTTATGTATTATACATGGAGATCATATCCCCCCTTATGTATTATACATGGAGATCATATCCCCCCCTTATGTATTATACATGGAGATCATATCCCCCTTATGTATTATACATGGAGATCATATCCCCCCTTATGTATTATACATGGAGATCATATCCCCCCTTATGTATTATTACATGGAGATCATATCCCCCTTATGTATTATACATGGAGATCATATCCCCCCCTTATGTATTATACATGGAGATCATATCCCCCTTATGTATTATACATGGAGATCATATCCCCCCTTATGTATTATACATGGAGATCATATCCCCCTTATGTATTATACATGGAGATCATATCCCCCTTATGTATTATACATGGAGATCATATCCCCCTTATGTATTATACATGGAGATCATATCCCCCCCTTATGTATTATACATGGAGATCATATCCCCCCTTATGTATTATACATGGAGATCATATCCCCCCTTATGTATTATACATGGAGATCATATCCCCCCTTATGTATTATACATGGAGATCATATCCCCCCTTATGTATTATACATGGAGATCATATCCCCCCTTATGTATTATACATGGAGATCATACCCCCCCTTATGTATTATACATGGAGATCATATCCCCCCTTATGTATTATACATGGAGATCATATCCCCCCTTATGTATTATACATGGAGATCATATCCCCCCTTATGTATTATACATGGAGATCATATCCCCCCTTATGTATTATACATGGAGATCATATCCCGCCTTATGTATTATACATGGAGACCATATCCCCCCTTATGTATTATACATGGAGATCATATCCCCCCTTATGTATTATACATGGAGATCATATCCCCCCTTATGTATTATACATGGAGATCATATCCCCCTTATGTATTATACATGGAGATCATATCCCCCTTATGTATTATACATGGAGATCATATCCCCCTTATGTATTATACATGGAGATCATATCCCCCCTTATGTATTATACATGGTGATCATATCCCCCTTTTGTATTATACATGGAGATCATATCCCCCCCTTATGTATTATACATGGAGATCATATCCCCCCTTATGTATTATACATGGAGATCATATCCCCCCTTATGTATTATACATGGTGATCATATCCCCCCTTATGTATTATACATGGAGATCATATCCCCCCCTTATGTATTATACATGGTGATCATATCCCCCCTTATGTATTATACATGGTGATCATATCCCCCTTATGTATTATACATGGAGATCATATCCCCCCTTATGAATTATATATGGAGATCATATCCCCCTTATGTATTATACATGGTGATCATATCCCCCCTTATGTATTATACATGGAGATCATATCCCCCCTTATGTATTATACATGGTGATCATATCCCCCCCTTATGTATTATACATGGTGATCATTTCCCCCTTATGTATTATACATGTAGATCATATCCCCCCTTATGTATTATACATGGAGATCATATCCCCCCTTATGTATTATACATGGAGATCATATCCCCCCTTATGTATTATACATGGAGATCATATCCCCCCTTATGTATTATACATGGAGATCATATCCCCCCTTATGTATTATACATGGTGATCATATCCCCCCTTATGTATTATACATGGAGAGCATATCCCCCCCTTATGTATTATACATGGTGATCATATCCCCCCTTATGTATTATACATGGTGATCATATCCCCCCTTATGTATTATACATGGAGATCATACCCCCCCTTATGTATTATACATGGTGATCATATCACCCTTTAATCTCCTCCTCTTAGTAGAGAATAAATTCAGTTCCTCATGAAAGTTTCAAGCCAACTTGTTTATTCGAGGATCC